ACACACACACACACACACACACACACACACACACACACACACACACACACACACACACACACACACACATTCGCACGCACACATACACACACACACACACACACACACACACACACATTCGCACGCACACATACACAGTATGGAGTTTGTGGGAAGCTGCAAAGGTGCAGTAAGGTGATGAAATAAGGCAGAAGGTTTTGATTTGAGTACAGGGTTTAAGCTTGCCATTTTTTGCGGCGTGTGTGTGTGTGTGTGTGTGTGTGTGTGTGTGTGTGTGTGTATGTGTGTGTGTGTGTGTGTGTGTGTGTGTGTGTGTGTGTAGTGCTCAGTGCTCCCATGCAGGTTGTGGGCTGAGCTGTGTGGTAACAGGTTAGCTTTAGCCTTCAGCCACCTCACAACTCTTACAGGTCTTAATGTACAACGTGACAACAATCTGTGTGTGTGTGTGTGTGCCTGTCAGTTCTTTCATCCGATCAGTCCTCCGTTGCTAATGAGAACATCTGTTTCGTTAACACTCTGCAGAACGAACCGTTTACACTCAGACATCATACACGACCGGCCACATCTCTCTGGAGCCTTTTAACAACTCACTGTATTTGTTGCTCTGCAGATAGGATCAAACACACACACACACACACACACACACACACACACGCACGCACGCACGCACGCACGCACGCACGCACACACACACACACACGTTAACCCACAGACGTGAACCAGCTCCATCCCCCCACCTGCCTAATAACTCCCAAGGCCCTTTAGCTTAACTGCTTCTATAGCTCATTGTGCAGTGCTGAATACAGGTGTTCCAAATCCCCATGGAGTTGCAGGGATGCTGTGGGGGATGTGTGTGTGTGAGCATGTGTGTGTGTTACAGCTGGCCTCCCTATCCACCTATATAACATGTCCATCCTCCCCCAGCTGAGAGAGCAGGTGAGTTTTTAAGTCCCCTCCTCATCAGACCACACACTCTCCACCACCCCACTTGTCTTTTCACATAGATATGAATATTTCATAGCCCTGTGTGTGTGTGTGTGTGTGTGTGTGTGTGTGTGTGTGCGTGCGTGCGTGCATGTGTGCATAGATCTGCGATATAATGTCAGTGAGAACAATAATCCTGCTTTCGTTTTTTCTTTTGTTCCCCACCTTTTGTATTGGAAGGTGATTTTCAGCTGTAATTTTCCAAGGAAAAAAGGAAGGAAGGAAAAGTCCTGACATAAACACAACATTTTGCTACAGCTAAAATTAAATGATGAAAGAGATTTGAAAATTAAAAATGGAAGAAAGAAGACTACACTTTTCTTTGTGCTGTTGAGAAGTTGTTGCAAAACACCTTTTGGATCGCACATTCCTGAAAAAACAGATGAGGGATTTCTCTTTGTGTACTTTCACCAGGGTGTGTTTTTCTTTTTATTTAGGAATGCAGCACAGAACGCTTCCATCCTACTACTACCCCTCCTTCATGCATGGTTTATTTTTGCTAAAGTTATGGTTTGTGTTTTTCTCTATTATAAAACACACTCAAAGAGCCCCCCCAAGGCACTTTACAACACAATCAGTCATTCATCCATTCACACACACATTCAAACACTGGTGGAGATGAGCTACGATGTAGCCACAACTGGCCTGGGGCGCACTGACAGAGGCGAGGCCGCCGAGCTCAGGCGCCACCGGTCCCTCCGACCACCACCAGCAGGCAAGGTGGGTTAAGTGTCTTGCCCAAGGACACAACGACAGTGACAGACCAAGGCTCGAACCTGCAACCTTCCGATTACGAGGCGAGCACTTAACTCCTGTGCCACCGTTGCCCACACAGGGTACACCCCGAACAGATCGCCAGTCCATCGCAGGGCAACACAGAGACACACAAGACAAATAGCCAAGCACACACACGCCTAGGGACAATTTAGACAGAACAATCAACCTGACAGTCATGTTTTTGGACTGTGGGAGGAAGCCGGAGTACCCGGAGAGAACCCACGCATGCACAGGGAAAACCTGCGAACTCCATGCAGAAAGACCCCAGGCCGGGATGTGAACCCAGGACCTTCTTGCTGCAGGACAACAGCACTAACCACTGCACCACATAAATAAATCAAATTATTTATATCCCAATTCATTTGCTCAGATAAGAAAATTACGTTAGGGGCATCTTATGAAATGGGGCGCTATTATGAATAACTTTATTGAGCAAATAGTAAGCATACAATACAAAAAACGAAGCATGCTGAATAATTCAATATTCACACAAACAACCTGGGACATTAGTTATATAAATAGTTATATAACTACATGTAACAATCGCATATATCACTTATATGAAATGTTTTCAGCTCTGTTCTGTTGATAGGGTTTGATAACGTTAGAAAGTGGGGTGTGATGTCATTGGCAGGGTTCGGGCTGGGTCAGGTCCCAGAGCACTTCTGGTACCTACGATGTGACAACTCGAACCTCTCTAAAAAAAGCGTTCAGTATTTCAGATTTTTATAACCTGTTCAAAATTCCACCAGGCCCTTTTGGCTGGAGTGAGAAAATCTGGAATTTTGGAGACAATTTGGAAACTTCTTAAGGTAACAGTGAGCAGGTTCCTGCTCCTCTGCCCAACTAAGTGGAATTATAACGATCAACCCTGCTGCAGCCTGCGGTAGCTAGCGCTAACATTGAGCTAACGCTAGTGTTGGGAGTAATGCGTTTCAGTATAACGGTGTTACTAATGGCGTTTGTTAATGTAATGGAGTAATCTAATTAATTACTTTTCCCATTGCTGCAATGTTGCAAAATGATTTGTAACTACTGATAACCTAACAGTCACTGAGCATCATGTTAAAGCTCTAGCTTAAGGTTTAAAAAACTATCTGTTGTTACTATGGACGCAACAATGCCACTTTTTCCCAAACCGATATGATACCGATACTTGGATCTGAGTACTCGCCGATACAGATTACTGATAGCACTGATATTATCACTCTAACAAACCACATGCTTATTCTTCTTTTACAATAAACCATTATTCTCCAGTTTATCTTCACACATTGTTGCTCCTTTCATCCTGATTTATGAAATCTTTTGTGCCCTTCCAGTTGTGTCTGCAGTGCTGGTTAGTAACGGGAGAGGACAGCTGAACAGCTGACTCACGGCCTGTAGATAGAAGTCATCGATGTAATAGTGAAAGTTCTCAGCTTTGACCAGCTTTTTAACCAGGTTTCTATCAGCCTTGAGAAACTTGAAAGTTACAGCTTCTGTGGTAAAGTGTGTGGTTTGCACACTGCTGGAAGCCTTGCAGAACTACACAGACGTCAGTTGTTATTTTCCCAGTGATCGAGTTTGCGCTCAGTGTGAGCATTTGATGAGAAATTGAGCGTCTTTGAGCAAATACATCTTTAGAAACAGTCAGCTGGCCCCTGGGCTCCTGGCTGGTGAGAGATTTTCACATCAAAGCTCAGGTGAGAGGAGTGTGGAGAGGCAGAGGGAGGGAGGAAAAAGAGGGGTATGAGAAGGAGGTAGTGAAGAAAGGAGGTGGAAGGAGACATCTTCTACAAAAGATCTTTAGCGGTTGTTATTCTGTCCCGCTTTGGTGCAGCACAGTTTAGTCTGTGCGTGTCGATGCCGTCTGTCTCAATCTAAACTCCGCGTTACAAAAACACACGGAGGGGCGGGTGGAAAGTATCAAAGAAGAACGCACCTTTCTCAAGTCAAATACCCACAGATATGACTGCAGCCACTCGGAGGGGAACAGAGAAGAGCTTTCCCCCTCTAACAGCGCGTAACGTCTGACCCGCTAACTTCTGCCAAGGTTTGGGTTTGTGTTTAGAATTGACACTGAGGCAGAAAAACCATCATTTTCCCTGGAATCATGTCCCTTCTTTAGCTATAAGTTTCAGACCTGAGCGCGTGGAACTGATGTCGACACACTGATTAATGAATAGCATTTTTAAAGGTGTGTGTGTGTTTGATGGACATTATTCTGCTTTGTAGCGCTCTGTAATCCAGCCATGGACTCAGGCTGGAGTGCTAAAGTGCTGCTAACAAGGCCTGTTTAACATTCTCTCCCCTGCTCAACATACAATTATTCCACTTCGCTGCCATTAACATGTACAGTAGGACTGGGCTTTTAATTGGCCTGATATGACTAATGCCAGATCAACTTGGATTTGCTAATTAGTTTTTGCTTTAAAAGTGCCATCAGGACATGAAATATTCATTGATGTGAGGTAGAGCGAGGACTGTGGGTGGTATTAGTGGGATATTAGTGGTACCGGCAGGCTGCTTGACTGTGCTGGGAGAGGAGGTTGAACTTACGCTGGCCCGTTGTGGTCGCTTATTCATACTTTGGGTGAGGTGTTGGTTTTTTCGTCATGATTTTTTTTAGACACCCACACAGGCGCACGACGAGACGCACACAATTCATCCTTGCTCACGCACATGCCACCTCCTTTCTCGGCGGCGTCACAAGGCCACCTTTTCTTCTCCAGCCCCCACCTCTCCTCTCATCTCTCCTGATTTCACCTCCTCTCTATTTCCATTATTACATCTATAATTTTTCCTTTGCCCTCATCCAGCTTCCCAGCTTCAGATCACTTTTTTCCTCTCTCCTCCACACCTCCTTATCCTCTTCCACCTTCTCCTTTGCCTTTCCCCCTCCCTCTGTGTAATCTCCCACCTCTCCTCCTTCACACCCCCCCCCCCCTCCCTCTACTGTAAGTGGGCCAGGTGCCTCCTGTGGCCTCCCCTACTCCATTTCTCATTTTACCCTTCCTTGACTCCTTTTTCTCATTTTTACCTTCTCCCTGTTCCCTTTCTCGTTTTTAGCCGGCCCCTTGACCCCACAGCTTGTAATTATATATTCTGTGAAGGCAGCGGCGAGCCACAAACACGGGCCCCCCCCCCCCCCCCCCCCCCCCACGAGACCAGAAGATGCCTCGTTCAAGAGCCTGTGTCAGAGTTAGAGCAAGTTCCCTGTTAGATGGGTTACAAAAGTGTTCCGTGATGCATTATTCATGGATAAACTTTATATCTATCAACGATGATGCTTGTTTTATGAGCTACTTTGTGTCAGTTCCTTTTACGAACATGGGAGGAGGCCAGAATGGGAACGGAAGTGAAAAGGTTCACATCCCTTTTTCTGTGGCGAGGGGGTAAATTTCCCCAACGGGCCTCTGGCTCCTCTGTCCAGCATTGCATTTGCAGACACACGTAGCTAAAAGTATCGGTGCTGCCGTGTTTTTGAGCTAGGACCCGTCCTTTGTCTCTGCCTGGCTGTCTAACCCCTCGTCTCTTCCTCTTTCCATTTTGTCTTCTATCTAATGCCCCCTTTCTCCCCAGGTTGGGTGGATATGTGCACTGGTGTGTGCCACAAATAGGACGGTAGGTGATGGGCGTTTTCTTTTTTTTTTTTGGACAGAAACTTGATACTGCTTCACTATGTGGGAATGTGTGACTTCTTCAAAATTTGGTTTCCAAGTGGGAGTTTTGGGTTTTATAGATGGGAAGCCCCATCACCGGAGTACATTTTTGTCTCTTGCCATGTCTCTTTTACAACTTCTGCACACACACATTTGCTGCTAGTAAAGTGGTTGGCACAAAAAATAATAATAAGCCAGTGAGCCACGGCGGTCGCTAATGCTAGTCAACAGGTGACAGTCAAATGTCAGAGCAGATTGCAGCAAACACTCTCAGAGAGAAAAGACAGACAGACAGATTCAGAGAGGAGGTGTTGGGGTGACAGAGACGTGAGAATCCAGGTGAGGCGTTTGTCTGATCAAACCTCGCTCTTCATCTATCACAGTCAAACACTTCACCTGGAGCCTCGCAGCCGCGGGCCGCCCATGCAAATGACCTCTGCTCGCGTTTCTTTTAGGGAAGAAAGTTTACTTGAAATCTGTCGCTGTGTCGGGGTCTGCAGCTTTAGAAATCACAGCAGTAATTCGCAGAAGTGGCTCCACGCTTGGCGGCCAATCGCAGCGAAGCAGACACAAAACAAAGGAGACAAAGACCTTTAATGATTTTGTGTTTGTTGTGATTACTGTTTGAATTTAGTCAGCAGAACCACTGCAGACGGATTGTTGAAAACGCTGAGGAGCTCACAAGCTGCGCTCCGCGACATGACACTCTGATAAACAGCTGAAGTGATACTCTGTGTAGTTTATTTTACCCAGTCATGCCTTCATGTCCAGCTCTCAAGAAGTCCACTAAAATCGCCTCTTTGTTCGTGTTTTGCAGCTTCTGTGCCACTTCTCTTCCTAGTCTACTACTTCTTCTTCCCTCCCCCTCTTTCTTACCCTTCACTGTCTCTTTTCTGAGTCCAAAATGCAAGCTTCTCTAAATTTAGATGCTCTTCTCTCCCCTTGATTTCAACTCCCTTTATCTCACCTCCTTTTCTTCCTGCTGTTGAAGGACAGATTCGCAGAAGCGCTCTAAGATTTATCAGTGTTGTATTGTCGCTGCTTTTTGATCAGCTTGATGAGTGACAACACGCCTCGGGCTATTATACACAAGTGTGCTTTTATAAATGCTCCTGCATCTATATGTAAATCTGCTGCTGGTAGCCATCCTAGAAGTGAATTTTGTTTATTGACTTGGTTAATTTAAGAAAAAGTGTTTTTTCGTGTTCCGTGTGTGCTTTTGAGTGGCTGTGAGTTCGATTAGCAGGGAGTAAAGTCTCTTAATATTTGCTCTGGTGGGGGGCACAGGGTGTGCCTGTTGAACCTGTGAGTGCATACTTAAGCTGTGGCTTCTTTCTTTTTTTGTTCCCCTCTGTGCACGAGTTCATTGTAATCTGCTGCTCAGTGCGGATTTGAGAAAGGGGCCTCTGTTTGCTGTCTGACAGAGTGACAGTCACACCAAGTTACACACACACACACACACACACGCTCTGGACACCCGCCTCGGCACCAGATAGCGACCGGCCACCACTGAATCACCGTCATTCAGCCATTCTCACACACACGCTCAAAAACCACACATTTCACCAAACAACAATTAGCTTTCAGACGTCAGACACTTCAGACATCTATCCCCTAAGGGATTGCATTTTTGTACTAAGGAATCTTATTTATTTATTATTGTCTTATTTGTCATCTTTGCTCTTTTTTACTTTTTAATTCTCTGCGTAGCCCTTCATTTTATTCCCCCGTTAATGCTTGCGTGCATGTTTGTGTGTGTGTGTGTGTGTGTGTGTGTGTGTGTGTGTGTGTTCTCGTCTCAGACCTTTGGAGCTGGTGACTGTTTTAACAGCTCAGGAACAGGCTGCCTGTGTTCTTTGTGGTACAGTCATGTACAGTCGTGTCTAGCTGAGTCGTGACAGGCTGCTTTTTTGTTGTGGCAGGTGATGAGACCTATGAGAGGTTCTGGACATCCAAACATAGAAACACACACATACTCACAATGAGTAGTTTCTGGCAGAGAGAGAAAAACCGAATGAGCTAAAATCTGTCTGAGTCTCTCGGCAACCTTGGTGTTGTCATTTCAGCCAAATAAAAAAGAAAATGTTAAGATTCTTATTCCTACGAATGATTAAGGAGGTAAACCTCTGCCTTGTTTGTACAACACACACATTTTAAAAGGAACTATCTGCCACAGAGTCTGGTTGTAGAAGTTTAAAAAGTAGCCTTATTGACACACATTATAGTTTCTCAGAGAGCTGACACAAAGCTCTTCATCTGAACAGAAAGCCAAGGCTAATTCAAATTCCAACAGTCTTTGTTTGAAGGTCTGACTCTTACAATATATAAATGCATTTTCTATAAGTGAGAAAACACAATTCAAGTTCTATTTCTCTGCTAGAAAATATGAATTCAGAAAGGAATTATGTTTAAAATCCCATTTTTGTCCCGTTTTGGCTGTAAAATCAAATATTTACACAGTTTAGTCATCATCATCATCATCATCATCATCATCATCATCATCATCATCATCATCATCATCATCCCAGACATTTATTGTGTCATTGTTTATCCACACGTTGCGCCTGTAGAACCCTTAAACATGTGAGATAATGCAACAACATTCAGAACCACAAAAATACCAAATCCTAATGTTGTCCCTATAGACGTGTGTCCAAACCAGTGTATCCTCCGTTGGTCCCGGCCAATGTTGTCTTTTAATCCTCGCATGAGCACGTGCCATTTCGTCCCTGAGTTAGTGAAACTGCCATTGGCAGTAGTGTTATTTGCTCTATCTGCTCATCTAGAGCTGTTAATGCTTGTGACTGTAATTTCCCGTCTTTGCTGGAGATAATTATGAGGTGTAATTTATCTAATCTACATTTATGATTTTTTTTGTCACCATAATGGCCAGCATTGCTGAAAGTTGCAGCTCACACAGCAAAAGCTCAGGTTTTCTGTGTGGATCAGTTATCTAATATGACCAAATGTGTGTGAAGTGCAGTTTACACATTAAAGTTAAACTTAATGAAATTGTACACAAACTGGATGCTTTTCCCCATTATTCTGTAACAAGATGTTGAGCTAACTTCCCCTCTTGTGCAGTGAAACAGCTGTTCAAAGAGAAATATGTTATTAGAACATTACCATAGGAAGGACAGTCATTTATGTTAAAGAGCGAGTCACCCCCTACCAGAGTCTAACTCCACTCCCACTTCATGTTTGAAAAATGCAACACATGCTGTTGCCTGGCAGACCGAGAGGGTGGAGCCGCTAACAAATACACACACACTCAGGCTCACGACAGCATTGTGACATCATAATGTACCAGTTTACATCATAGCATACTTCTTAGCCAATAGCGGTGGCAGATTTAAATTCAAATACAGTGCAGAGTTTTTACCTGACAACGGCACAACACTGACAGTTTTAAGCAGAATATTTAAATTTTAACTAAGATGCACTGAAGTGCCAAATTATTGACGACACGTGTCTGCAGCATGATTAGACACTCGTTTATTTGGTTTATCAGCAAAAAAAAAGTTGATTTGGGGGTGACTTGCTCTTTAATAACACCTAAGTGACATTTAAACCTTTATATGATTGGAAGTGGTTCACCTAAATTTTTTGTTTCTGAAACTTAAAAACAAAGTTTTGTGATTTTATAACTTGTCAGAATAGTGTAAAAAATAATAAATTGTTTCTTTCCAGACTTGCAGCTGTTCTTATCAGTGTGGACATCACTCCCCCTGGATGAGAGAGCAGAAAGAATTCAATGAAATATTTTTTAAATTGCATCTGTAACCCATTTTCTTTGAGATCAAGTAAATTACACATAGTTCTGAGAAGTCTTGAACTAACAGCGACACACCTTGAAGCTCCAGTTCCCATGGTTTCCTTTATGATGTTGGAGGTTTAAGCGTTAGCGGAGGAGTCTGTCACAGTGATTCAGCTGGGAGTTTATCACACCAGGTGATGTGAACACCATCGGCTCCCTCCTACCTGCAAAAAACAGATGCAGACAGTTGATTTTGAAATTCAGTAAATGTTACAAATCCAGTTAGTTACAGATTTGTTTTAGCTTTTCTCGTCACACTTATAAAGGGTTCAGATTAGAAAACATCCAAGTTGACCCAAGTAAATACAAAATACAGCCTTCAACTGAATTCATTCATTAAAGGAAACAAAGTGGGGCTGGGCAATAAATCGAAAATGTATCATTATCAAAATTTCTAACTCTAACTGATATCATTTATCCCATTTCAATAAATTCAGTAATACAATTGAAAGAGGTGTGTGGGTCGGTGAATTTCATGTTCCATTAGGAAGCTCTACCACCTCGAGTCACATGACAACGACATGTACATGTCATAATACACGTGACAGCAAAAGAAAAATGGCACTTACTAGCTTAAACTGAAGTTGTCATTTTGCACAGAAAAAGTTTAAAACTTAAGCATGCATGATAGGAGATATGTGATGTTAGTAACTTTAAATGTTTTTGTGAAAAGGGGACAGAGCACATGTCAGTATTGGAAAATAGGAGTTGATTATATTGGCATATCGACATGTCGGCATATCGATAAGAAAGCCAACATCAAGCATCCCTACTTCTGGGGATAGACTTCTGGAAGGTGTGCTTCCATAAAACAGTTTCTGAGATACACTCATTGATATAAACTGTAACAAAAATGAAAACATAATTAATAATAATCTGCAGGAGTCTAATATAATAATGTTGAATATTTGTAGCAACATTTTCAGTAGTATATAATTTTACTTTTCTCTCACTAATAATAATAACAATAATAAAGAATATTGCATGAATAAATACGTGAGGAAACAGAAAGTGAAACTTAAATATCCTCCAGCGCTGTAACGGCATCAACCGCTTCGAGGAGGGAAGCTGTACCGTTTGGCGGGTCCGTGATTCATCAAAACGTTCGTAGTGGTGTGTGATGTGTGTCGGGAGTTTTTAGTGGG